CACCGAGCCAGCTCCTAATGGGGGGCAGCAGGTTTCACTTACCTTGCCTGGCCGCCTGCCCAGGGCAGATGGGATGCAGCTGGGGGAGGCCCAGCCCCTCCTCGTCCCCTCCGCATCCCCTCCTCCCTCTCAGAAATTGTTGTCGCCTTGCTCATCTCCCTTCACCCTTTCTCTGGTTGGACACTGGAACTGGTAGTAGGGGAGGTGATTCTCCCAAAGCAGGAAATGTGAGCACTCACTAAGAGAGCGTAGAAATCACACATTTGATCAAAAGGCAGAGATCATTCCCTGGCTCGCCTCTGCCCGTCCTACCTAGAACCTCCCAGCACAGATTCTGGGATGCACGTCAGGAGGGCACCTGAGTGGCAGCATCCAAGGGCAGAGCGCAGCCCCTCTGACACGAGGGTTCTATCTCCCAGCTCGCCGGGGTGAAGGCTGGAGGGGCGGAGTGGAGAGGAGCGGCTGGGACATGGCTAAACGTGGAGGAGTGTCCGGAGTGTTGGGTGCAGTGGCCAGTTATGATACCACTGCTTCTTTCCAGGGGTCCTTGGGCAAATGGCGTAACCTCTGCAAGCCTCAGTCTTTTCATCTGTAAAACGGTGATCCCAGCACCCCCTTCATGGAAGTAGGGATTAAACAAGACAGTCGTGTGAAACTTTCAGCCCATTGGACATCTCAATAAGCGTGTTTTCATGTCTGCTCTCCCCTGCCTGTCCGAAAGTGGGTTGGGGCTGCAGGCTGCTTCTGTAAGGATGGACACCGGAGCTAAGCGAGGGGTCCCAGTGGGATAGGAGAACAGGGAGTGTGTGTTATTGTGTGTTAGGACTTGCCTTTCTAAAGGGGCAGGGTGACGGAGGGGTGGGGAGATCAACAGGGGAGGGGCAAACCCATTTCAACTCCTGACAGTGCAGTGTGACACCCACTCCAGCTCCGCGTAGAACTGCATGCTTTTCTCCACCCCGTCAGCTAGGGTCCAGGAGGCCTTGGTGTGTGCATGGTGGGGAGGGGCCCTCGATGTGTGCAACTCTGTCATGGGAGATGGTTCTGGGGGCACTCACAGGAAAAGGCTGCCTCCTTGACGCTGCCTGTCTGATCCCACTGGCTGGTCAGCTCCCGAGCCCACTCCCACGCCCATCCTACAGGGGTGGCCGCAAGTGCTGAGGGTTAGGGGAAAGGAGGTTGGGTCAGGAGACATTTTTTTTTAAATTTCTTTATCCTCACCTGAGGACATTTTTCCATTTTTTGTTCAGATGGAGTGGGAAGGAGAGAGAGGAAGAGAGAGAGAGAAACATCGACGTGAAAGGGGCACATCGAGTGGCTGCCACCCGCACGACCCAACCAGGGCCGGGGACAAACTGCAACCAAGGTACATGCCCTTAGTGGAAACCGAACCCGGGTCTCTCTGGACCACAGGCCCACACTCTAACTGCTGAGCCAAACCGGCCAGGGCAGGGAGACATTTTTGAAGGACACTCATGTTTGAGGCCAGGAGTCATGACCCTTAGGGAATTAGGATCAGGTAGAAAGTGACTCCATAGGGCCTCAGATATTATTCCAAGGAAAAGGGTCAAACCCAAGTCCAGCACACATTAGAAGCAGGAATCCCTGCTGCTTGTGGTGGTGCAGATGCAGGAAGGCAGGTGGTGGTGGTGGCCATGACCCTGGCCATTTGTGGTGATGATGGGGATGGTGGTGACGTTGGTGGCAGTCATGTAGTGATGGAGAAGATTGTGGGAGTGATGGCAGTGGTAGCTGAGGTGGTTCTGGTAGTGATGCTGGTGTCATTATGATGTGGCCACAGTGTAGGTGGCTGTGATAGTGACAGAGGTGGTGATTGTGGTCATGGGGTGGTCCCAGCAAAGGAGCATCCTGATCGCAGCTGTGCTAGCTACAGAATGGTCAAGCCAAGGGGTCACATGATAATATAATCCTTCATGTTCTGGCAGGTTTGGCTCAGCGATTGGAGCGTCGACCCCAGGACCGGAGTCTCAGGTTCAGTTTTGGTCAAGGGTATGTACCTCAGTTGTGGTTTGATCCTCAGTCCTGGTCGGGGTCCTGCAGGAGGGAGCCATAGACGTATCTTTTTCACATTGATGTTTCTCTCTCTCCCTCTCTGCCTCCCTCCCACTCTATCTGAAAATCAATGGAAAAATATCCCTGGATGAGGATTAAAAAAAAAAATTTACAAAAATAATCCTTCAGCCCAGCCGGTGTGGCTCAGTGGTTGAGCATTGACCCACGCACCAAGAGGTTGCTGGTTCGATTCCCGGTCAGGGCACATGCCCAGGTTGTGGGCCCGATCCCCAGTAGGAGGCATGCAGGAGGCAGCCAATCGATGTACACTCTCATTGATGTTTCTATTTCTCTCCCTCTCTCTCTCAAATCAATAAAGAAAAAAAATAATAATCCTTCACATCAAATACCTAACCCACTAGAACATCAGCTCCATGAGGGCAGCTACTATTATTCACTGCTGTATCCCCAGTGCCTAGAACAGTGTGTAGCATATAGTATGTGCTCAATAAATGTGTGTTGAATGAGTGAAAGGGGATGGAGTCTCTCTTTGTGGTGAACACTGTTACCTCATTTGTCATTCACCATGCCTGTTCAAGATAGGATCTTTTTTTTCTCCTTTATTTATTTATTTAAAAAAAAAAGTTTTCTTTATTGATTTTAGTGAAAGAGGAAGGGAAAGGGAGAGAGAGATAGAAACATCAATGAGAGAGAACATCGCATGGCTGCCTCCTGCATGCCCCCCACTGGGGATCGGGTCCACAAACGTGGGCATGTGCCCTGAGTGGGAATCGAACTGGTGACCTCTTGGTGCATGCTCAATCACTGAGCCACACTGGCTAGGCAAGATAGGGTCTTTTTTTAAAATTCCCATTATATAGATGAGGAAACTGAGGCAGAGGGATGACTTAACCTGCCTAAGACCACACAGGAGTAAGCCGTGCGGGCATGGGGCGGGCCACGTAGGCGTTTACACCAGGTATGTCTCATCTCAGTTCAGTGCCCTTTCCTCTCCGTACTCTGCGGAGCTCCTCTCCCCGCCAGCACTCAGCATTTCATCGTGGTCTTGTGTGTGGGCTTAATCATAGAAATACTGCTAATAATAGTAACAGTTGCTGTTTGTAATTGTTCGAGTAAGGCTTAAATGATCAAGACCATGGAAATTATTAATAACCCAGGCCCAGCCATGGTAGTGTGGGTCATATTAAATTGTGTTGAGATGGATAACCTTGGCAATAATAATAACTGGGATCATAAATTAATAACAGGAGTATTTAAATTAATGCCACGCTGTGGATACCCTTTGTAGTAAGCAGCTCAATGCTGCTGTTAGTACTAATGTTGCCCCTTCCTGCCTTCCATGAATCCAGCTGAAAGGAAAGGCAGGGCCATAGAAGCAACGGGAGAAGGAGACAGCTCAAAGGCGGGTCCCTGTCCGGGAGGAGGGAATTCTCAGGGATTTCTGAAGACGGGCTAGCTGCCTGGCCTCTTATGCCATCAAGGTGGGTGTCTCATCCACGTTCTTGCTCAGTCATGTCTATCTGCCCTTCCTGGGGCTGCCTCTGACTTTGTTGGTTGTATAGGAAAGAAATTCACAAGGCAAAAATTTCCCCCCATGAATGAATGAATTAGCTTCAACTGATCTAGAAAATCACCTACTTACTGCCAGCATGTCCTCTTCACAAGTGCACTGATCTCTCCTTGTAATGTGGGAGATTAGTACTATTTTTTTCAAAGTTGAAACTGAGGTCTACACATGACCAAGATTAGGGTGCTAGGATTGACTTTGTAGATGTGTCCCCCACAGCTCTGAGCTCCAGGGTCTTCATATCTGGGAACCAGGAAAGGGTGGGGACAGGCAAGGGCGAGCATTGAGGTGTGTGTGTGGGGGGTGCCTCTCACCAAAAGATTCTGGCAGCTCCCTGAGTTGCTGAGCCTATGATTTGGACCTGTCAAGGTTTCTGTGACATGGTGAGTATGGGATGATTACATAGTACATGAATGGGTACTTGGATGTGAGTCCATCCAACTGTGGAAACACTCAGTCTAGTAAAGGTATATTGCTGAAAATACATCTGTGTTTGTGTGTGGGTGTAAGTGTGTGTGTATTCATGAATGTGCGTGTGCGCTTGTGAAAGAAACTATGCACGTGGGGCTTGTGTGGAGGTGACGTACATGTACACATGCATATGTGAATGTGTAGGTGAGTATGTGTGTTATGACCATATGTGCAATAAGTGTGCATGTGTACTTGAGTGTGGGGTGAACACTCATACATAGAACATGCAGGTCTACATGAGTGCATGAGGATGGTGTGGGCATATGTGGTATATAAGTACATATATGTGAACTTGACAGTGTGTGTTTTCCTGTGTTTTGTGTGCACACTTGTGACCCCTTCAAACTCATCATTTGAAAATTCAAATGATGTGGGGATGGACTCCACCTTGAATGACCCCTGGGTCAGCCCATCTGCTACTCCTCCCTTCCCCTCCCTAGGTCTTTGCACTGGGAAGGGACAGAGGTGGGGGTAGGGTATGGATCAGAAGATGAAGGGCTGTGGGCATCTTGCTGATTGAGGCTGGGTAGGGAGCAGGGCACCAGGGAAGAGGCTGAAGCCACATGCTGGGGATGGATGTCAAAGGAAGATGGATAAGAGAGTGAATCCTGCGGGTGGGCGCAGCCGGAGGGGAATGGGAGCCGCCCTGGTACGGAGGCCACAGCATCCAGGACAGAGGCTTCCTAGCGCGGGCTGGGCACTCTGGGTATCAGGGAAAGGTAAGGGAGAGGCTCTGGGGGCCAGGGCGCGGAGAAACGGCAGCGGGGCGCGAGACCGCGGCTCCCGGCATACCCTCCCTTCTCCTCCTCTCCCCTCCTGGAGGCAGCGGGGCGGGCGGGCGCGGTTCCGGGGGTGGGCGGGCTGGGCGGGGAGGAGGCGGGGCCGCCGCACTAGCTTCTCCCAGCCCCTCCCGCCTGCCGCCAGAAGGAGCGGAGCCTGAGCCAGCTCCGGGGGGCGGGTGCCGGAGAGCAGTGCAGCCCTATCTGTCCGCAGAGCGGACTAACTGGAAGTCGGCGCTGCCGCCGGAGGCGGACGATGAGGGCAGGTGCCGCCGGCTGCGCCATGGACCGGCCGCGCCTGCTGCTGCTGCTGCTGCTGCTGCTCCTGGGGGTGAGTGCCAGGGGAACCCGCTCCCTTTCCCGGGACCAGAACCCCGATGGGTTCAGGTTTCCCCGAGAGAAAACTGAACAGAGCGTTGGGGTCCCAGATGCTGGGGATGGATGGCGGGAGAGGAGCTGCGATGTCAGGATACACGGAGGAGCATCTAGGGTTCTCAGGGCGCAGAGGAGACCCTGAGATCCAGGGTAGAGATGCGGACCAGAGGTGCGCACGGATGCGGGTACTCAGGTACCTGGGTGTGTGTGTGTGTGTGTGTGTGTGTGTGTGTGTGTGTGTGTGAAGGAACTGGGAGGGGTCTTTGAGGAGGGGGTCCTGGGGCTCCTGGATGCCTGGGTTCTTTGGAAGAGGGCGCTTGAATGCCAGGATTTCAAGGCGACTTTTCCCCTGAGCATCTTGATTCCTGGAGGGTCGTGGGACAGAACCCAGGCTAGAGAAGGATGAGGAATGGGACGGAGACTAGAGGTGTAAGGGATGAGCGGGACTGGAGGCGACGGGCTGGAACAATGGGGGAGGAGGTTGGAGCGACAGAGGGGACCGGACATCGGACAATGAGGACTGGCCAGACAATGGGGGGAGGGGCGTGGGAGAGAGAGCTTCGGGGAGTGGGGAACGTCAGTTGAAGAGAGAAAAGTGGGTTGGGGAGGGCAAAAAAGGGACGCCTGGGAGGGAGGCAGAGAGATGGAAGCAAAATGAAAGAGGACAGAAAAGAAAGAGCCCCGCGGGTCCGCGGAGGGACAGTGGGTCGAGAAGAGAGAGCAGAGAAACGGACGTTTCCCCGCTCCGGTCGTGCGCTCTTTTTCGCGGCCTCGCCCAGTCGGGGTGCTTGCGCTGGGCTACCGTTCTCCTGATTCCTCCATGACCCACGAGCTGCTCCAAAGCGCTTGTTCTCGTGGTTTGAAGCAGCGCGGGGGACAGAAAGGGATGAAGTGGGCGTTGTCCGACCGGGTCTGGCAGCCGCCACGTCGTTGGGTGCCGAGCGCTGGGACGCACCAGGAGGGGAATGTCCCAGCGGCGCGCAGCCCAGGGTCGCTAAGCGGAGGCGGCCCGCAGGGGGCGCTGCGGTACGAGGGTTGTGCCCTCTGCAGCTGCGGACGCCACAGGGGCTGCGCGCCCACCCCACATTAAGTTAAGTGACCTGAGCGCCGCGCCCGCGGTTTGCTCTGCTCCAGCGCCCAGGCAGGTCGGGATTCCGCCCGCGCCCCGCCCAACTTTCGGATGAAGACTCTGAGCACTGATTGAGACAGAGGTGTTTGGACGCCTCGGATTCTGTCCGGGCAAAGGACTGCGGGTCCTCTTAAGCATCTAAGTTCACCTGGTCGTTCTGACAAGACATTCAGGATATGTGACCTGGTGTGTGGCCATGAACTGAGTACCCTGAAAAGTTTGGCAATGGAGAAGGTGTCCTCACTTTTTCTGACATCTTCACTTCTCATCTGAGCACCTCGCTCCCAGATGCCCCTTTTACAGATAGAGAAACTGAGGCTCTGAGAGTTTAAACAACTTGGCTAGGATTCCACACGTAAGTTGAGTCAGAGCCCTAGCTTGACTGCCCCTCACCTGATTCCCAGCCCTGTACTGCCCGTACCTTTTAAGGGGGCAGCCCGGCGTCCCAGCTCCGAATGAGAGCTGCGTTTCTCGGAAGGGCGGGCTTGCCATCATCCCGAGCCAGGCCAGCGGTGGAATATATAGGCTGGGTGGGCAGAGACCTTCTCTGGGCGCTGGCCCCCTTTCCGAAGCTTAGCCCAGGTTCCCTGGAGCTGCAGATATCCATGGCTTCGTCCGGGGATTTGGGAGTGACTGCGCGCACCTCTGGTTACTAACGCCGTGGGTTAGAGACGCTTCTTCTCCCGGAAGGGATGTGGGGAGGTGGGGCTGGGGCGGACGCGTGGATCCCGGAGGGGTGAGGCGGGGGGCTCCGGACCGGGGCTGGAAGGAGTGTCTCCCGAGTGGAGAAGAGGCGAGGAAGGAGGAGAGCTGGGCTTGCAGAGCCTGGGGCCTGGGGGAAGTAGACCCTGCGCAGAATCAGCCGCCAGAGCCCCTGCGGTTCTCGCCGCCGCCTCGCCGCTGCTCTCTGCGGACTGTCGCTGCGCACCCGGGTGCTTCGAGTTCTTCCTGGGCCACAGCGAGAGAGTGTTGAAACCAGAGCGCGTCCCGACGGGTCTGCTGGCGGGCCGCGCCGGTAATGGAGGCACTTTGTCATTCAGACGTCTGTAACCGGAGCCGCCAGGCTGGCTAATGCGCCTAATAGGGATGCAGTAAGGACAGCAAATAGGACACGAGCCGCCGGGCGCGGGAGGCGGCTCCCGGAGGGAAGGAGTTCCCACCCGGCTGTACCAGCCCGGTCCCACTCACGCGCCTCCATTCTATTCTGGGGGTGAGGAGTGGGGAAGTGGGGATAATAAAATTGGTTGAGTGCCTACTGTGTGACATACACTGACCTGGGTAATTTCTCTTGCGTTATTTCATCCTTGTAAATTCCCATCAGAGTAAATCTAGTTATTCCCGTTTTACAGTTGAGGGAGCTGAACCTCCCAGATTTAGGCACGAAACCAGGCTCCCTCAATTAGTAAGTGGTGGAACCCTTGGAACCCAGGATGCTCAGCTTCGCGCTTACTCGTTCCTCCGTAAGCCAGCTCCCTCTCACTTCTAGACCATGGAGGAATGAGTGGCCCTGAATCACTACTAGCCCCGTAGACTACATCCGTGTCCTATGTCCTTGGTACCACAAATTTGGAACTGAGTTCCTTGGCCTCATGAAAAATCCCCGCCTGCTCAAAGTCTTCATGCAGCAGCATCCTCAGTAATTAGCTCTCATCTCCTACCCAAACTCTACCCCTGCCTATTGGGGGGGGGGAGCATGTGCCACTGCCTCCCCTGGGTTTGCAGCGACCTCAAAAGACCCTCCACATATTTGAAAACTCTTCAACCCCATGGCGGTTGCTAATGGCTCCATTCACCTAAGGAACCTTTAGCTGAAGCTGCTGTGAATGGTTAGGATTCATCACACTGAAATATTCATATTCAAATTCTTTCAACTATTTTGGTGTGTTTTCTATTATGTCTAATTAAAAAACATTTTTTAAGATTCTTAAGTCAATTTATTTAAGAGTACTTCCACCTGCCCTGGCCGGTTTGGTTCAGCGGTTAGAGCGTTGGCCTGCGGTCCTGAGAGACCCGGGTTCGGTTCCCGCTCATGGCGCATACCTCGGTTGCAGTTTGTCCCCGGCCCTGGTCGGTTGTGCAGGTGGCAGCCACTCGATGTGTTCCTTTCACATCGATGTTTCTCCCTCTCTCTCTGTTCCTCTCTCTCCCTCCCACTCTACCTGAACCAAAAATGGAAACATGTCCTCGGGTGAGGATAAAAAAAAAAAAAAAGAGTACTTCTACCTTAGTTTCTTGAAAGCCTCAAAATGGCGAGGAAAAAAAAAAAGCAAACATTTTCAAAAATGGGATGAAGTCATTCAATCAAACTGGAAATGGATAACTGTAATAATGTAAATTTCAGGCAACTGCATCTATCATTTTGGTAAATTAGTCATTTTGGAGTGATTAACCTGGATCTTAGTCATCCCTCCCAGCTTTCCAAGATTTCCCTGGCTTGAACCAATAGAAGGTGTGGCAGGGGCCAGGCATCAGGCTACTTAGCAGCGGGCCTCAGTTTCCCCATCTGCCAAAGAGGGGATGAAGGCAATCCCTCAAGACTTTCTCCCTCAGCATCTTGGCTTCTGGAGCAGCTGTTTGGGGCAACATTCCCTTTCCCTCATGGGACTGTGGTTCCCCACAGAAATCAGGGACCATGTCTCATTGGAAACTCTTATTTCAATGCTCAGTAAATAGTTGTTGAATTACTTAACTTTAAGGAGAGCAAGTACCCATCCTCCTTTGGTCCCCATGCCATCCTTAGACTCCATGGTAGCTAAGACTTCATGCTGCCCCCTACTCTAAGATAGTTTCCTCTTTTAGGAGATAGCTAAACTCTCCCCTCCAGCTGCATCCCACCCAGGCTCAGCCGCTCACTCTCCCTAAGACGAGGTGCTTCTTTGGCACCTAACATTTATTTAACTTCTACTATACACCAGGCAGATTTTCATAAGTTATTTCATTTAATTTGCACAGCAACCCTGAGCAGTAGATACTAACACCCAATTATTTTCCTTGGGGGGGGGGCACTGAGACTCAGAGAAGTTGAGAATTTACCTAAATTATCTATTAAGTAGCAGATCTGCAATGTTTTGAAATAGGAAACATAAAATAAGCACAGGAAACACATGGTTACTAATTACCTGGACTCGATTCCAAATACAAGACTTGGGAGAAGAGAGAGGGTCACCAGCTGCTGCAGGAAGAGCAGGCTTCGAAGAAGAGGGGAAGAGGAGTTTGTACAGGTGGCCACTCTACCGACGACCACTGTGCAATATACAGATCACGTGTCATAGAAACGTACACTTGAGACCTATATGATCCTCTAAACCAATGTCACCCCAATAAATTTAATAAAAAAATACTTGCCTACTAGAAAAAGAAAAAAAAAGGAAGACCTTAGAAAAGAGAAAAGAGAGCTCCCAACGTGTATGAACACGTTACTCGTTCCTTTAATGCTTAAAGCACCCCTATGAGGCAGGTACGGTCATGACGACCTAATGAGGAAGATACTGAGGCACAGAGAAATTCAAGACTGGTCCCAGATCACCTAGCTCTAAGTGATGAGCCAGGATTCAGAGCCATAGAGGCCACTGAGGACAAAGGCAGTATAGCTCACACTTTTACTCAGAGAATTGCCCCTCTTCCTTCAGATCCTACTTACACTCATTTTATACACCGTCCTATCAAGGCTAGTTACATTGTTCCTAAAGATTCTCTTAGACCTAATAGATTAGAATGGTGGGGAAGGGCCACTCAGGTCACACTCTAATGGCAGCAAGAATTGACAATTGGTATCTTGATAGGAAGTGGGGAGACAGAAAAAGTATTTGAAAAAGCTCACAGGAGAACTCAGAGATGAAAGTGTGGTAATTTGGGATAAAGAACACAAGCACTGCATAGCAGCCCAGAATAATTGCTGGTGTAAATACTGAGTCCCTGAGTCATGGGAAAACAATGAAGATATGTTCCAGAGTCAGAGAAAGGTGCAGCCACCATAGTCAAAATAAACAACATAAGGTGATTACAGCAGCAACTCCTTGACTTTCGGGAAACTCAGCTATCCAGAAGTCATTCCCCGAGTTCTAGTTAAGTGAGGTCCCTAATTTGTGCCAGGTACCATGACAGGCTCTGGAACAGTCACAGATAGGCCCTCAGGGAGTTGACAGTCCAGTGGGGGATCCTGTCAAGTGTCAGAGCAGACAAGAATAGTCAACAGGGAGAACATGTAACAGTGCATCTCCACCTGATCTGGGAGGGGTAGGGGGACAAGGCCCAATTCCTTGAGGAAATGATATTTAAGCAGAGCCCCGAGGGATGAAAAGGAATCCAAACAGACCCTTCTATAAGTTTCCTCACTTCCTGGGGGAAACCCTGTATCTGGGACTCCTCCCACCCCCAAGACTTCTGGTCTGCAGATGTTCCCAGCACTGTGTTCCTGCCACCTGAGAGATGATGGCAACACCAAGGTCCTCCTCCTGTGCTCCCTGTACCTGCCCTGATGGTCTCCTGAGGACCACAGGCTGCCTCCTAGACTGATCCAATCTGTCAAACCTCCGTCTCCACCCAACCTGGTGAGATCGCAGGACATCTTACAGGACTGGACAGAAGGGAGTGTTCTTGGCCATGATCTGGTCAGCGAGGAAGCAGAGGAGTGTCCAAATGACCTTTAACATTCCCCTCTGCTCCCACAACCTGAGACTTCATACTTCCTCTCAGTATCAAATGGGAGCTGCATGGTCTGGGGCCAGAGAAACAGGCTTGGGAGTTTTATTAGACATGAAGATTTTTTTTTAAGGAACAGAAATATAAAGCAAGCTGCCAGCAGCCCCTCCCTCTAGGGAATCTGGTGCTAAATTGTTCCATCCATGAGCAAAGATGCCTTGGCGGCAGGAATCTGACTCCCCTTTCCCCTGGTTCCAGAGCTGTTCCCACTGGCTGCATGGGGGCAGGGAGCAGGGCGGGCTGGTGACTGGAAATCAAAGCCTGGCGGAGCAGGGCTGCCGGGTGATGAGAGCTGCCACTTTCTCATCATTGATAACAGGCGACCCTTTCTCACATCTTGGCGCCACGCTCTTGTGATTGGTTGGCCTTTGCTCTGGCCCAGCGCTGTAGTCATCTCGATCTGTGCAGAGAGATGGAGACCCAGAGAGGAAGAGCAGGGCAGGACAGAGCTCCCAATGCAGAGTCAGGATCTGAACCCAAGACCCCGCTCCTCTGCCTTCTGTTCTTGGGTACAGATTCCTCCTGTTGGATATACAATACGTGGAATGGTAGAGTTAAGGACCTGGAGTAGGGAGGGCTCTGCTAGCCTTGGTTAGAAAAAGGCCCCCTCTGGGTAGATGCAGCCCAGCAGGTGTGCGGCTTAGTAAGTGGCATTTGGACTAAATTTCAGCTGCCAGTTGCCCCCTTGGCTGGAAGCCTGTGCAAGCTGCAACCTGAAGGTCCTCTGCGGGGCTGACGCCTCCTTCCCCAGGTGGTGTATCTTTGAGATTCCAAGAGCTGCTGTAACCCCAAAATGAAATCTGCAGCGGGTCAGCCTGGGAGGCTCTGACCTCACACGCCAGCAGCCTTCAGGGGTGTACTGTCCCCCACTGCCACTCTTCCTGCCAGCTTTGATGTGCCTAATGCCTCCCTGGTGAGCTCATCCAGGCCCAGGTGGTTCCAATAGACGGCTTTAGGAGGGGGTGTTCGATCCCTCAGAAGATACCCCCTCTTTTTCCCCTTGCCCATCTGACCTTCTGATCTCCCCCCCACCCAGGTGTCCTTCGGAGGTGCCAAGGAGGCATGCCTCACAGGCCTGTACACCCACAGTGGCGAGTGCTGCAAAGCCTGCAACCTAGGAGAGGGTGTGGCCCAGCTTTGTGGAGCCAACCAGACAGTGTGTGAGCCCTGCCTGGACAGTGAGTAAAGGGTGGCAGGTGGGGAGAGGGGAGAGGAAGGGAAGGGAGGGGCCAGGGGCTGGGGAGGAGCATGCCCAGTAGAGAGGCCTTACAGGTCCTCTGCCTCCTGGCAAGGTCTCCTGCCCACCACTGTATGGGCACCAGAAGTGGGTCTGGTGCAGGATAGGAGGCAGAGAGAGGAAGCTGAGAATGGATAAGAGAAGTATGCAGAGGAAGGAGGGGACCTGATGGGGGATCCTAAGGGGGACCCCCTTCCCAGTCCCCAAGCAGAGAAGTCTGGTAGAAGAGTGTGGCCAGGTGGGAGGAGCAGCTGATACTAAAACGAGCTAAAAATATCATCTGCACTGCAAAATCAATGGTTGCCACTTACCCTGGGTGTTTTTGGGGGGAGGGGAGGAGGATCAAATACTGGCTGCCCTGGAGACTGACCTTGGGGGATCCTGGGAGGGTGTGGCTACATTCTCCTCCCGGGCCAACTGTTCTCCAGCTCCAAGGAAGCAGTTTTCCCAACGCAGCAGGAATGGGGGTCAGAGCACTATAAGGATGTCCTTCTCCTGGGGTGGTCTCAGGTAGGAGAGGGGAGAGGGGCACTGTGGCCATTCCTACCTGAGGTTTCCTTGGGGAGGGGAGAGAATCCTGTTTCTCAGGGCTGCTGGATGAGGGATGCCATGAGATGGTGGGTCTGGGATCTGATATCTGTGTGCTGCGGACTCAGGACACTCAGCTCTGCTGGATCCCCCCAGCCTCAGTTGCCTTCCGGCTATGGGCTCAGCACTCTTTTCCTGGCCCTGCCCAGAAACCTTTCCTCACTGTCCAGTCAGATCCTGCCTTCGGCCTGGCACTCACAGCCCATCCGGAGGGCCTGTGATAACCACGCTCAGAGTATCCTGTAATCACGGTGAACAAGGGTTCAGGAACTGGGAACTCTGAACCCATCTGCCAGGCTAGTCTTACCTCTGGATGCCTCCCCCACCACCACTACCAACACCTGAGCACCTCTCCATCCTTCAGGCAACCCCAGCTCCTTGGTGTTCCCACACATACTGTTTTCCTAGCTCTGTGTTTATGAGTCCTGTAACTTCATCCTCCAGCAGAGGGATGCCTGGGACTGGGTGAGGAGACTGGACATCCTGTAATGCCCTTGCCACCTGGCCACTTGCCCTGGCCCAGGGAAGGGTCGGCCAACTTGCCTACCCTGGAACCTCCCAAGATCACCTCTATCATTTCCTAGACTCCAGCCCAGGATCCTAAGTCTCCAGGAGGGGACCCCACTCACCTTCTGTCAAAGCAAGGGTAGGGTAGAGGAGCCTGGGGGAGGGAGGTTCTGGCATCTCTGAGGAGGGGGAAGGGAGGCAAGCTCAGAGGCGGTGGCAGGAATCCTCCCTCCCATTTCCTTCCATTTCCTCCCTCTATTCCCCGCCTTTTCCCTCCACCCTCACTCCCCACCAGCTGCATTAACAGGCCGCCTTTACAAGCCCACTTTATGGAATGGAGACCCCAGTGGACTTTCCCTCTATCCTCAAAACGTTTCCACAAGGAAACCCATTAAGCTCCTGCCTTCATTCTCTGCCAAAAAACACCACATTTTCCCCACTCCCTAAAACTGTCTCCCAGGAGTTTTCTGCTAATTTTCTGTATTTTCCCATGAGCAGGGCCCTCCCTTCCCCTTCTGGTGACTGTACTTATCCCCCTGCCACATGCCAACCAGAAAGGAGCCCTTGTTTGTTTAAATTGGAAATCGTGCCTGAGCTGCTTATGTTTGGAAGTCCTTTCTGCTGTCTATATCCCTGCTATGGAAGTTCACCATACTTATCATTGCCCACCCACGATCCCTGCTGTGTGTCAAGTGCTTTACAGTGGAATTTCATTTATTCCTCACCCTATGAGTGGAGAGATTATTCCTTATCTTACAGAGAAAGAAAAAAGCTCAGAGAGGTTAAGTAAAACACCCAGAGTCACACAGCTAATAAGTGATGGATAGAGTTTTGAATCTAGATCTGCCTGATTCCTAAGAAGAGAAATACAGGTGTCCCTCTGCCAGAACTGACTCTGTTCTCTTCTCCCCCAGTTTTTCCCCTTTCACTTATGTTTTTTTTTCCTTCTTTGCTTCTCTACTGCCCCCAAGATAATGACCCAGTGCTCCATCTTGTCTCTTAGTGCCTTTAGAGAAGGTTGAGATCAGACCCCACAACAGGCCTTGATTTCCTTCCATGAGATGCTGCTACTTTCTCTATATCTGCTTCCATATTCTGAGCATACCTTCCCTGGTTCTCAGGTTGTTAAATCCCTGCTCTCCCCCCCCCCCCCCAGCAAGATGCATCCTTTTGGTGGGAGTTCTCCACCCTGGGCCGCACAAGAAGGAGAACACCCTGACACCCTGACACCCCGACACCCCTGGCGTCCTTTCCCTTGTTCTGTAGCTCACACCCATTAACTCAGAGAGCGTGAGTGAAGAGTGAGCTTGGAAATCTGCCCTTTGTGCCACTGGAAAGGGCAGAGGATGATACATGCAAGTCCTTCTTGCTTTCTAGCTTCAGTCCCTCCTGCTGCACCTGAACTTGCTTACCAGGATTCCCATCCCCACCCTCAAGAGCCAAGCCTTTCAGCAGCGTGGGGGAGCGCCGTGGGTGGGAAATTAGGCTGTTGAGCCCCAGTTACTCCCAGGCAGGCCACGCCTGAGCCCCCACCTGTGGAAGGGGAGCTGAGGCGGGAGGCTTGGTGGTGAAGGCTCCACGCCTGGGCTAGGTTCACAACCCAGCTCTGGCCTGCGGGGAGGGTCGAGTGGGAACCACGCTCAGATTATTCCCTAATCTTTCTGGGAGCGCTCTAAGAGAATCTGCCAAGAAATGTACCTGCACCAGCTGGGTTACCCTGCGAAGCCTCAGGGCCATCGCTCCCGGGCCTGGAGGTCCCCTTCCTCCTTCCCAGTGGGCTGCCGGGAGCTTTCACAGACCTGGGATCAGGGGCCCTAGGGGAGAGGGTGGGAGTCAATGAGGGAGTGAGGCAGAGCGAAGGCGGCAGCACCACGGCGGGGGACATGGAGGGCTGGGAAGGGGGACATAGGAGTGGGAAGGGGCACCTGCTGCCCCTGTGTCCCAAGTGCCCAAAAGGCAGATGACTAAAATCTGGGCCCGCAGCTCCCCCACATCCATTTGCCCTCAGGCGTGACGTTCTCCGACGTGGTGAGCGCCACCGAGCCGTGCAAGCAGTGCACCGAGTGCGTGGGCCTGCAGAGCATGTCGGCGCCCTGCGTGGAGGCGGACGACGCCGTGTGCCGCTGTGCTTACGGCTACTACCAGAACGAGACGACGGGCCGCTGCGAGGCGTGCCGCGTGTGCGAGGCGGGCTCCGGCCTGGTGTACTCGTGCCAGGACAAGCAGAACACCGTGTGCGAGGAGTGCCCCGTCGGCACGTACTCAGATGAGGCCAACCACGTGGACCCGTGCCTGCCCTGCACCGTGTGCGAGGACACCGAGCGCCAGCTGCGCGAGTGCACGCGCTGGGCCGACGCCGAGTGCGAGGGTGAGCGCGGGCGGCCGCAGGTTGGGAAGGGCGCCTCCTGGGGGTCGGCCAGGGCCAGGGCCGGCCTTGCCCGGCGGCCACCTGCCCTGACACCTGGTGGAGGAAGTGGCTCGGGATCCGTCTCTCCAAAGGCCCCCTTTCACTCTTCCCTCATTTAGGCTGTTTGGAAAGCCATCCTCCTCCTCCAGGCCGCAGCTACTACCTTCTAACTCATTTTCCAGGGCTTATTCCTCTGTGGCTGCCAGCTGGGCATTGGACAGGCTGCAGATAAACAGCTGGAAAGTGGCCACTGGGACCAGAACACAGAGCAGGACACGTTTGATCCTTGAGGCAGGCTTTCTGAACTGGAGAAGGGGTTTGAGGACTCAGGAGCTGGGAGCCTTTGGCACTGAGACCTGGTCTAGGGCCAAGGTGGTGTACGGCTCTGGGACCTAAGATGGAATCTACCCTGTCACTTGCTATCTGAATGATTTTAGTTAGAGAGGTCACTCCTGTCTTGGACCTCAGTTTCCTCACTGGTCAGTCTGTTACCAATGTGGTTGTGGGTTAGAGAAAGTGACCAGTCTACTTCAACTTGTGGTATCAGGGAGCCGGGTCAACAGTCATTTTTAGTTTAGTCATGGATGAAGTGGGACCCAGGGAACACCAAGGAGGTCGTGGGAGAGGGGCTTTGGGGTGGAGGAAGAAGGGGAGTGGCAGGGGCACATGGCAGTCAGAGCAGAACAGTTTTGGTCTCTGATTGGTGACAGCTGTCTCCGGGAGATGGGTGGGCTTTTCCACTGTGGGGAGAGGTGGACAATGCCTTTACTTTCTCTCCATTGCCCTCTCCATTTAGCTGTTTCCCTAACCTTCAGGATGTCCTCACTCTGAGCAGGCAACCCAAAGCCTCCTTTAGGGAACCGCAAGTTTGATGGGAGAGAGACAGCCTTTTGCCTCCGTCTGTTGAGAGACAAGGTCCCAGCACCCATTTCCCAGGAGATCCCTCATTCTGGTGGAGGCAGCACAGCCTCTGTTCAGGCAGTCCCCAGTCAGATGGGGGAGATAGGATCCCTTTTCGGGAGCCTCCAGTCTGACCATGGCTCCCATACAGCCATGCCTCCTTCCACCTCCGTGAGCTCGGCTTAGGGAGCTCAGGGTGGAGAGGGCTACGTTGGGCTGAGCCCAGGTGTGTGTGAAGCTTCCTGTACTGGGGTGGGGACTGGGAGGAGGGTTGGGGTAAAGAATATGGTGATTCTGGTGGTGATTGCCCTGGGCCAGGAGACAGGCAAGTGGCGTCAGGCGCAGAGCAGGGAGGGAGTTTCATCCGCTGACAACAGGCAAGCACCGCAGTACAGTTCCGTGGGCAAGTCCAGACCAGCTGGCGGGTGGACTTAGGGGCGCCGTCAAAGCAAAAAAAGGTTGTGGCGGGGGGGAAGTGTGGGCTCTGCCTTTTTGGGGCATTCAAAGATTCCTCCCAGATTGCACCCCACTTTCCCAGCCACTCCGAAGGAGGAGTGAGGGCTGTGCTTACCCTCTGCCCCTCTGTACTCTAGCCTCTGAAGGGTTAAGTGTCAGCCTCTGGGGCAGAGGGAACATTTCAGGAAATGGAATTTGATTCATGGTTTGGTTGCCCCCTTCCCTCCAGTGCATTGTACTTTTTTGCATATATATTTCAGGTGTTAACATGGTGACTCACCCACCCTTGAGGCAGAAGCCCCCCAACCCCCATTGCCCCAGCGAACCTTGGGTTTGGGAGGAATAACCTGGTCCCTCTTTCCACTCCCACGTCTGGCAGCCCCCATTCCGGAAACGGCTGTCAGGCCCTGCCATGGGCATAGCGGGGCGGAATGCTAGTGGACATGGCCACATCTGGATCTCATCCCCAGCCCCCCTCAGAGGGTGTTGGGAAAACGTGGGGAAAGTGCCCCGGACAGTTCTGCCTGCAGCCTGGCCTGGCCTTTACCACCCTCTCTGAGGCTTTCCCCACTGCTCCGGAATCTGTGATGGTCCAGTTCACCTCCATACCTTCAGCCTGTGGGTGAGGGTCAGCCTCAGGGCTCAGGCCGCCCCGCCAGCCGGGCCAGTTCCCTGGCAGGGCAGGAGGAGATCCTCCTCAGTCGAATGCCCTATCTGGGGCTGCCAAAGACAGGGCCATGTCTCCTCCATTTTCTGCCCACCCCCGCTCAGGACTAAGATGGGGGAGGGGTGAGATGGGGCAGCAGATGGCAGCCCCCTCCCCGTGCCAGCCAAATGGATTCCAGATTCACATCTGGGGGCCTCACCCCTCAGAAGGTGCTGAAAACAGGGCCCTTTGAAGCATCTTAGTCTTGAGCCGAGGAGGCCCAGAGACCAGTGGTCAGCTTTGACTCCAACTTGGGTGGGCAGACTGGGAGCCGAGGGGCTGAGCGGAGGAGCACAGTGCCCTCTCCATCACCCCACTGGCATGTCCCATCTGCTTTCCCTCCCTGCCCTGGAGTGGGAAGTGAGGACGGGGAGGGTGAACGCTTTGCCCAGACAGGTACCCCCTGGCAGTCCAGAGCCCACAACCCAGGAACTGCCCCCAACTGGTGACAGAATGGAAACTCCCACCCACTGGTGCCAGGAGGCAGCTGGATCCCCTGCCAGAGAGGCTGGCAGTACCCAGCTGGCATGAGAGGGCCTAGCTGGGTGGCAAGGCACAGTCTCCTTCCCCATGAGGTGCTGGGCAGTACCTGCCTCGCAGGCCCTTTCTCCACCAACAGCCTGCTTCCTGTCCGGGGAGGGCTCGGCTACTGGACACTGTCCTCTTTGGGTGACAAGATCAGATGGTGTGAGGGCCACACAGGGCAGGAAAAAGGCTAGCCTCTGTCCAACGACCGGCTGGAGGGAAGCAAGCCTGCCTGGCACCCCATGCTGCCCAAGCCTAGAGCTAAGACAACAGAGACTGGAAAGGAGGCTGAGTGTCAGCTCTGGGGAGGTGGAATGGGGCAGGGTACCAGAGTAGCCCCATCCTTCCTTAGGACGGCGGTGACTGGGGCCACGGGGGTAACCTAGGTCCAGAGAGGTTACAGCATTTCCCAGAGTGATTCCAGCGAGAGGCTTCCGGGCTTCCTCCCCCTCCCCTGTGTGTATACCTTCACACCTGGTTCTGGGCGCCCAGGGGAGGCAGAGTAGATTTCTGGGACCATGGCTACCCCCGAGATGGAAGGGAGCTTAGAGACCATCTCTCTTGATATCCCATTCTGTGGACAGGGAAATGGAGGGGACCTGGGCCTCCTGATTCCCAAGCTCTTGCTCTTCACCCATATGTGGGGCACAGGGGCACCTGGAGCAGGCTGGGGACGCAGGAAGAAGCACTAGGTGGGTCAGATCATAACGGGAAGGGCTGAGGGGAGTGGGCCTTCAATCCTGTCACCTTTCTCCCAGAGATCCCTGGCCGCTGGATTACACGGTCCACTCCCCCAGAGGGCTCGGACAGCACAGCCCCCAGCACCCAGGAGCCCGAGGTCCCTCCAGAGCAAGACCTCGTGGCCAGCACAGTGGCAGATGTGACTACAGTGATGGGCAGCTCCCAGCCTGTGGTGACCCGAGGCTCCAATGACAACCTCATCCCTGTCTACTGCTCCATCCTTGCCGCTGTGGTTGTAGGCCTCGTAGCCTACATCGCCTTCAAGAGGTGAGAGGGGTCTTGGGGGACAGAGAAAGGGACCTTTGTTCTCAAGGTGTGGGCTTTACCGTGACCTTGACCTGAAAAATCACACTCTTAACCCCAAACCAAGCTCATCCTTACTCACCATCAGCTGCTCCACTGCAGGGCATGGCAGGTCAGCAGATAGGGAGGTGACCGTCCCTGACCTGTCCTGGTGTCAGCACCGCCCACTCCCATGGTGCTGCCCTCTCGGGCTCCCCAGCTTCGCACAGAAAGCTCGCTTTACCAGCTACCTCTGTGCTCACTCCCTGAATCCCACTTACCCAGTTACCTATGTGTGCATGTCTCCTCCTTCCCTTGGGGAAGGTGTGGCACCCACGTCCAGAAATCCCGGATGTGCAAGAACTCCCGGAGAGCATTTTAAATGTCTAAGTGCACTTTTCATTTTTAAAAAAACCATCCAAGTAATACATGCTGGTGTGGGAAAATGCACACGGGAGTAATGTCTTGTAAAGCAAAAAGTAAAAGCTCCCTTTCATCTCCCAAAATCCAACCCTGTTATCATCGGAATCTGTTTGGATCCTTTCCCACCATTTTCTCTGCATTTATAAACACATGTACATAAAACGTTTTAATAATTTTTTTTTTATCCTCACCCGAGGACATTTTTTCATTTTTTGTTCAGATAGAGTGGGAGGGAGAGAGAGGAAGAGAGAGAGAACTATCGACATGAAAGGGACACATCGAGTGGCTGCCTTCCGCACGACCCAACCAGATATGTGCCCTTAGCAGGAACCGAACCCAGGTCTCTCTGGACCACAGGCCGATGCTCTAACCGCTGAACCAAACCGGCCAGGGCCATAAAACTTTTTAGTTATGCGTAAATGCGCCAGTGTATGTAGATTAGCATCAATGGGATCACACTATACATATTCTACAACTTACTTTTTCACTCTTCTCCTTCAGGAGAGCTTTCCTTGGGACATTTAGATGACCTGATCATTTGTAACCACTCATTCAATAGTATGGATGGATCATGATTTATTTAACCAGCCTGCTATTGATGGACGTTTGGCTTGTTTTCAGTTTTTTCTCGGTGCTTGTAACAGCAGAGGAAGTCCATGTGTCCTGCACACATGTGCGAGCTTTTACAAGGGGAGGTTGGGGAAAGTGGAATTCTAGGAAGTCATTTACATATGCGTCATTCATTCCATGACAGTTATTGAACACTTGCGGCATACACCAAGCCCTCAATGCCCTCACCCTCACGATGCTTTCAGTGTAGGCCAGGGAAGCGGCACAGAGAAAGAACCTTAGGTACTGAGGTGGGGGTTATAGTTGGGTACCTACCAGGCCCCTGGCCGCATGGCCAGTGCAGCCCCTCCCCCCAAGGCCGGGCCTGTTCTCTGGCTCCAGGTGGAACAGCTGCAAGCAGAACAAGCAAGGAGCCAACAGCCGGCCCGTGAACCAGACACCCCCACCCGAGGGAGAAAAGCTCCACAGCGACAGTGGCATCTCTGTGGACAGCCAGAGCCTGCATGACCAGCAACCCCACACGCAGACGGCCGTGGGCCAGGGTGAGCAGCAAGGCCGGGCCGGGGGCTGAGGCAGTGATCCGGAGTGCTGAAGGTTAGACTGTAGGAAGGATTGCCAACTGGTGCCTCTGGATAGAAGGATGCGAGAGGCCGAGAGGGAGGCGTGGGGGAGGTCCTTTCCTGTGGAGTGACTTGGGAAATGCAGGCTTTGACAAATTGGAGCATCCAGACTCATCAAGCTAATTGTCCCCCCTGGGGCTAATTACTCCCTCAAGTGGCTGCAATTAGCTTCCTGCCCTGGACTTCTGGGGAACAAGTAGTTAATTATGTCTCTAATTAGTGGCCCATAGCCCAGCTCCAGGACACTTGCTACAGTTGAGTTTGGGACTGAGAAGTCCTGTCTCCTCCTCTGCCTTGATTAATTGCTGGAAGATGGGGAGGGGGTTAGGTGGCGGGGACAGTGCTGGAGCTGTGGGTGGGCAGGGCACATGAGTCAGCATCCTCCCCATGCCCCCTCCACAGCCTGGTCCGCCCCCCAACCCCCACCCAGGACCTCGTCTTAGCCATCGCTCTGCCTTTAGAGATGGAGGAGAAATGCCTCAGCCCTTCTCGGGTCGTATCCCAGGCGCCCAGGCACACTGTGGGGGAAAGGAGTCCTGGCAGGTAGTGTCTGACTTTCCCTGGGTTCTTGGCAGCCCTCAAAGGGGATGGAGGCCTCTACAGCAGCCTGCCACCGGCCAAGAGGGAGGAGGTAGAGAAGCTGCTCAATGGCTCTGCGGGGGACACCTGGCGGCACCTGGCAGATGAGCTGGGCTACCAGCCTGAGCACATAGACTCCTTCACCCATGAGGCCTGCCCTGTCCGTGCCCTGCTCGCCAGCTGGGCCGCCCAGGATAGCGCGACGCTCGACGCTCTCCTGGCTGCCCTGCGCCGCATCCAGCGAGCCGACATCGTGGAGAGCCTGTGCAGCGAGTCCACCGCCACGTCCCCTGTGTGAGCTGACCCGAAGCCCTGCCCCGCCCCCACATTCCAATGACTGATGCTCTCGCCAACCCCCATGGGCCAGCATCAGAGCTGAGCTCCTCCGGGCAGGGCCGTGGAGCCCCTAAACCATAGCCCTGTCCTTGACCCCTCGTGGCCCCATCACTTCTGACCACACCCTCTCCAGTGCCAGAAGTGCCCCTGCCCCTCCCCGCCCTGTCCCTGTCACTGCCCCTCACCATCTCCAGCCTTCTACTCCTTTTCCCACACTTCTAGGCGGGCCAGCTCCTCCCACCATAGCAGGTGTCATACCTGGGGGGCTGACACCGGGGATGGTGTTGGGGTGATAACAAAGCCCCAAAGACTCAGAGAGAGACTGAGGAACCAGAGCCATGGACTCTACACTGTGAACTTGGGGAACGAGGGAGCCTCACTGTGGCCTAAACACTCCCTCGGCCCCATCATGTCTCCACTCAGGCCTAAGATGCAGAGGATCAGAGGCCGGTCCGAGCTGGAAGAGGGGATTGAAATCTAGTCCACCCTCCTTGTTTAACGTACAGGACAGTGAGGCCCAGAGAGAGGTGGTGACTGGCCCGAAGCCACCTAGCAATGGGGTGGCTGAATGTGGGTGCCTCCTCCTCTCTGAATAAGGGGCACAAGTCTCAGCTTTGCTAAAAGTCTGGGAGAGGAGTCCAGATGACCCTCTGGGAAATGTCTTACAGCCAAATCCGGCCCACCCTCCACCATCTCCAGGCTGTTCAACCTCAGTGAAGATGAGATGCTTTACTCAAGGCCTGATCCATCATGACCCGAGTCAGGTTTGGGGTTTGTGGAAAGGGATGTGCTTCCCTCTGCCTGTCCCCCTCAGGCATGCCAATGTGGCATCTGTGGTGTGGCCCAGTCTATACATGCCCTCCATCCTGGCACAGACCCAGAGCCAACACAGGCAGTACTGGGGGTTAGGAGCTAAGGACCCCCAACTGCAACACATAGACACACCACACACACACAGAGGATGAGAAATCTTTTCTCCACAAGTTCTTTCTCTCGGGCTGGGACTGGATCCTGCCCCGGGGCAGCTGCCAGAGAAGCATCACAGGGAACTGAACTCTGCTCGCGTCTTCCCTCGCCCCCGGTTTGGCGGGCCAATGACTGCGGAGGCTTGAGCTGGCGCCTGTCTTCCAAGGGCCTGCGCACGGAGGAATGCTCCCCATCCTCCCCTCCCCTGAAGCCGCGGGTTTGGCTGGGCCCCGGAGGTTGCGATGAAGAAAAGTGGACCAGTGTGGGAATGCAGCAAGAAGGAATTGAGTGAAACTGTGGCCCCAGACGGCCTGGCCAAGGTTTAGAGGACCCTTCAAAGGACAGTTTTTTCCCCAGCTTGGTGCCAGGAAGGAGCCTGGAGGTCCTTCTGGCCTGTTCTGTTCTGCTTGATGTTGGAATGAGTGGCTCCCCCCCCCCCCTATTTAGCATGAACAAGCTGGAGCAGGGTCTGCACTAACAGCCACCCCTCCCCCACCCAGGGCTCTCCCACACCGGAAGGGACTGGGAGCATTGTACGTAGACGGCATCTCTTTGACCTCAATCTGTGATGGAGGAGGAAACTCACCTGCTGGCCCCTCACCTGTGCACCTGGGAGAGGGACAGAATCTGAGTATTTATTTTTCTCCCCAGCAGTTGGGGAGGGGGTTGGGGGTGGCAAGTATGTTTTAGCATGTGTTTGGTTCTGGGGCCCCTCCTGCCTTCCTTGGGCAGTGATGGAACCCTCTGGCCCCTGGCTGGGGGCTGTGAACTCCAGACTCCCTAACACCTTTTCCTTGCATCCTGTGTAATCATTTCTTGGGCCCCCCCCTGAAACTTACACATAAAACATAAATGATGAACATTAAATAGCAAAGAAAGAAAATTAGTGCAGTGATTTTCTGGAAATGCATGTGTTTTGAGTTGGCGGAGGTTGTATGTGTCTCAAGGACCCAGGTATAATTTCCAACTCGGTTCCTGTCCTGTTTCCTCCCTGCACACACACCAAATAGGGGAGTTTTAACAGAAATCCAGCAAATTCACGTGTGTAGTAGCCATGGAGTTAATTTATGCGGGATGGGGAAGGCGTGGGGGCCCTTTGCCCCCAGATCTTGGGGAGGGAAAGTGAAAATGGCCATGCAGGAAGCTGGCCAGCTGTGAACTTGACCAGATGTCAGAAGTGAAACTGACCGCAGGGGAGCCAGAGGCTTGCGAGAAGGGCCAGGTCACAACCCTGTAGCTCCCAGCCACCCACATGGCCTGGAGGACATTCCCCCTGCCCCCAAGTGCTTGTTCTTGCACAGGGTCTGGCTCCAGATGTCCTGGAGAAAGCCTGGCTGGCCTGCCCTGGATGCCCCTCCCTTGCAGCTCTCCCAGGCAGGTCCCCCCTGGCTCCTGCCGGCCTGGCTTTGAGCCCTGCCTGGCCTGGGACTGGGAGCTCCCTGAGGTGCAGGGTTCCGGGCCCCAGGCCTGTTCCCCTCTCTGAGGCTGGCCAGGCAGCTCGTCAGGGCCGCTCAGCTCCTGCTGATCCCTTGGCCGGTCCTCTGATGGGGCTGGCTCGCGGTTGTTGGGAAAAGGATGGGAGGCTTTCTCTTCCCAAAAGAAAAACAAACAGCCTCCTGATCTCAAAATCCTGGGAGGGGCCAGCAGGGTCCCAGCCAAGAGTGAGGCATCGGAGGGGCAGCTGTCTTCCACCTTCCATCCCCAGACTGTATGGGTTGTGAGGAAGGGGTGTGTGTGTGGGGGGGGGATGGGGGTGCAGGCAGGTAGGAGAAATGACTCTGGTACTTGGGTAACAGCGAGTGTGCAGTGTGATGGGGAGGTGGTCTCTGTCTTGAGTGAACCTCCCATCTGATGGGGAGACACAGTCCCAGATTGGGGATACCTCTCATCTGATGGGGGAAGCACCATTCCTGTCCTAAGGGAGCCCCCGTTCTGATGGGGAAGGAGAGCCAGATGCCGGCCTTCAGTGATCTTACATTGTCCAAGGGGAGACAGCAGATAGGCCTCGTGAGATGTGCAGGGTGAGCGGAGGTCTCAGCCCAGACCCGCCCCTACCAGGGGCCAGGAACGTTGGTTAGAAAAGGGCTTTGAAGCCCAGTCCTTAGGGATGAGTGGAATGAACGAGCTGCGGGAGGACAGTGTTCCTGGCAGAGGAACCAGCTCAGGAAAGGCCTTAGAAGAGGAGAACACGCAGGGCCTGGGGAGGCTCCTGTGCCTGGAGCCCAGAGTGAGCGGGAGGGAAGTCAGCGGGCCAGGCGGAGGAGGGCAGGAGGGCAGGAGGGCTGTGATCTCCCAACACTGCGGAGCCGGAGCCCGAGCCGGAGCCCGAGCCCGAGCGCTTTCAGCAGGGGGTTCCATGGACAGATTCGCTGTTTAGAAAGCACCAGCTCTGGGTGTGGGGTGCGGGGTGCGGGTGCAGCTCCGGGTGCGGGGTGCGGGTGCAGCTCCGGGTGCGGGGTGCGGGTGCAGCTCCGGGTGCGGGGTGCGGGTGCAGCTCCGGGTGCAGGGTGCGGGTGCAGCAGCACAGGCCGGGAGGTGGGGTCACTGGTGGCCTGAAGTAAAGAAGGGGCCACAGGGACGACAAAAAGAGGGCATTCTGAAAAGTTCCTCAGAGCACACAGGGTCGGTGAGGGGTTCAGGGGTGACTAGCCCTGGCCCAGAGCTCCTGGGGGTTGGGAGGCAGAGAACCTTAAAGACATTATACCAGAGATTTGCCCCGCCCCCTCAACTGTGGAGAAACCCCGTTTGCCTTCCTCCAGCTTAACCTCCACCCCTCTTGCTCCATTTCCCCTGTGAGGGCTAATGAAAAGGCTTCGCACGCTTCCATCTTTAATGTGGCCTCCGAGGGCTGCGTGGGGCCCTGCCAACTCCTCCAGCCACCCTCCTCCTCCCCCCACCCCGCCATCTGACGACTCTTCAAGCCTCCATGACCCACAGGCTCAGGCACATGCTGTCCTTTCTGTCTGGAACAGTCTTTCCCCCTCTTTTCCAAGTTACCTCCCTGTGCAGCGCGCCTTGGGAAGCTCTCCCCATGCTCGGGGCCCACGTCGGCCTTCTTGATCCCAGGTCCAGAGCACACCACGCCCACTGCTTTCCTTCAGACCACTTATCTCTCTGCAATTAGGCACCCGTCGGAGCGATTATCTGATTACTGTAAACTCCAGGCAACCAGAGACAGGGTCTGGTTTTGCTCACTTTCTAATCCTCAGCACCTCGCCTGGCATAGAGCTAGCACCCAATAAAACTTGGTTGACCAAATGAGTGGAGTGCTCTGAAGCAGCCCTGTCCAATAGAAATAGAACGCAAGCGCCATGTGATTCTCAACTTTTTAGTAGCCACATCACAAAAGTAAAAAGAAGCAGATGAGATGAACTTATAGTACACTTAGCCCAGGATGTCCAAAGTATTGTTTCCACATGTAATCAATATTTTAAAATCATTAATGAGATATGTTACTTTTTTCCTACAAGTTTCCGAATTTTTTGTTCTTACAGTACATCTCGGCTTGGGCTGGCCCGTCGCAAGTGCTCAGGGGCCATATGTGGCTGCAGCTGTCACATTGGGCAGCTCCGGAGCCATCCTCCCAGAGTGGGACTCGGTCCCCAGTGGGCTTGGAGGACAGATAGATGCCCTCTTGCTTCCTCCTGTGTCATCAGTCTCCTCGGGCCTGAGGCCTCTAGTTCTCCCTTTCCACCCCACCCGCCACCCCCAAGGCCTCTCTCCTCTGCTCAGGTTGGGGAGCCTTTCTTTGTCTCTTTCATTCTCTAGGCTAGAGGGCGAGACCTTTCATCTTAGCTGGCCCATCAGAGCCCCGTCTCTTCCCCGAGTATCTCTGCCCTCTTTCGTCCAGTGCCACGAAACCGAGATGAGACTTGGAACGATGTGAAAACCCTCTTCATCCAGAGAGAGGGGTGTGGTGGGGGGCACTAAATGTGTAACTCTGTGCTCCAGGGAAAGAAGGGGCTGGGCCAGAGCTGGGGTCAGGAAGAGACATTT